ATGACGAATAAAAATAGGAATAAAACTAGTTTCTAAAAAATCATAAAGTTTGAGGACGTAATTTGCAATAAAAATCATTTCATTAAGGGCAAAATTGACTTTTATATAAAAAACACAAATGGGTCACCCGGCTATTTTGGAAATTCTCCCCTTCAATTTCTACTAAATTTGTACAAATCCATGTTCCGTACCCAAAAAAAAAAAAAAAAAATGCTTTCTTGTAAAACAATTGGGAAGGAAGGAAAAAATGAAAAATAGGGGAAAGAGAAAATACGGTCGGTTGGCTTTGTCTAGTACCAAAATGTGGCGTATGATGCTGTTGTCAGCACTTTCATAGTACACAAGGTTCTTCTCTTCAAACTCGAGTCCCCATTTTCGCCCAGAACTACTACTTTATTAAGATGAACTGTGGCTACCCTTATGCAAAATCAGATCAAACCTTACCAGAATCGCACAGAAAGGAGGAACCCAACACTCAAAAATGTATGGGCATCTCATTATGGAAGAAAATATTGCACTTCTTGTTGGGTCGTGTGTTGAGGTACACAAAGCTTAATCCTTATTAATTGTTGAATGCCAAAGTTATGTAAATAAATATGTCTTCTTTATAGTCACTCAATCTAGTTCAAATTTCTAATAGAGCAGATTATTAATTTCTTGATTTTTATCTTATAATTTGATACCGTGGGACACTTGAGAGCACCAAACCCTGATTTATGAGTTTTTTTTCCCAGATTATGGATTCAATTTATTTTGTACCTTATGTAAATATGCATTGCTCTCTTTCTCTCTCTACACATTCACGCTTCACACTTTGAAGCTAAGGAGCAATGTTTATGTTTGTTTGGCACTTAAAGTTAGTTTTAGGTAATGTCAAATGAATAATGCTCCTGCTCAAGGACATGGTGACGTGACATATAATAATTAGGTGTTTTGTTCTAATTTTTTTCTTACCCTGCAATCATGTGTCGACACGCGCTCTCCAGTTTTTTAACACATCTTCAAGCCTATTTGTGTGCCTTCAATTTCATGGAAGGTGATTGATTGATTAAGACATCCTACCTAAAATCTGCACAGTATTGTATTTCAATGTACAGAACCAATTAGATTTATCAGTAAAAGTTTTCTTCAATGGGTCTAAGATATGTAAATCTGTTGATTGGTGTTCACATTTATATGACATTTATGGCCAATTCTTGTCAACAATCTTATTTTTTTCAAAAATTTCGAAAAAATATAAAGAAGGTAGAGGAAGCAAAGATCAATTCTGACCCACCTTTTCATTTCTATACGTATCTGAAAGACAGGGTAGATCTTTGCTTTGAAGGCAGCCAGATGATTTCCTCCTCATTACTTCTCTCTGGTACATGTTTCCTTGCACTGCATTGCAGAAGATGGACATGGACATACTTGCATATATATTGGCTGTCAAAACAAATTCAATACGGTGTTGAGTTGAAAACATGTTGAAACTAGAGTTAAAAGACAGATTTTTAGCCATTTATTTGGCAGTTTTTCTTATAAAGTTTATGGATCGCATAGAATGTTATGAGAATTCTGTATCAGTGGATGTTACAGACAGTGATTTTGCATCAACTGAGATGAACTACAGGTGCCTGTTAAGAAATTTCTTCCTTCCCCCGGTCAGATTTTGTTTTGAGTAATTTTATAATCAGTAGTATCTGTGCAGGATTTTTCATCATGATGAAATGGAAGACGAAGCGTGGAGTCTAGTGCAGAAAAAGGGGAACCAATTTATAGTCAATGGGCAGCCTTTCTACTTTAATGGATTCAACACTTATTGGTTAATGGTGTTTGCTGCGGATCAATCGACAAGAGGAAAGGTTACTGAGGTGTTTCAACAGGCATCTGCAGTGGGACTTTCGGTATGCCGCACTTGGGCTTTCAATGATGGCCAGTGGCGAGCTCTTCAGAAAACCCCTTCTGTTTATGATGAAGAAGTTTTCAAGGTGCATTTTTTCTTTACAATTCTAATTTAGCATTAGCACTCTGCATAATTAACACATAAAAGGCATGTTTAGTCTTAAGTAACCACTTAAAACTTGAATCTTTACGTTATAAAACCAATATTTTTCGGGTTTCAGGCCTTGGATTTTGTTATAAGTGAAGCAAAGAAGTACAAGATAAGGCTCATATTATCCTTGGTTAATAACTGGGAAGCATATGGTGGCAAATCTCAATATGTCAAATGGGGTAAATCTGCTGGCCTCAATTTGACTTCTGATGATGATTTTTTCTCACATCCAACTCTCAGAAGCTACTACAAAGCCCATGTTAAGGTAAGTTCCTTGAATTTAATCTAACCCTTTTGTAATAATGACTCCATGTTTTGAAATTTAATGCTTTTTGGCTCCTATAGACGGTGCTAAACAGAGTCAATACTGTCACACACATATCCTACAAGGAAGATCCTACTATTTTTGCTTGGGAACTGATGAATGAGCCACGGTGTGAATCAGATCCCTCCGGAAATAAGTTGCAGGTTCGGTTTCTCATTAGAGTGAAAGAAAATATAAGATATATATCTAACAAAGTCTGAAACGTTAATTTTCTTCTAAGTTGCTTGGCTTGCATTTACTATAACAGCAACAATTTCTGAAAATTTTTAAGTGCCAATATTTTTTTTTTTTTAGCAATGGATAGAAGAAATGGCATTATATGTGAAAAGTGTTGACCCAAAACATTTGGTGGAGATTGGATTGGAGGGTTTCTATGGTCCTTCTACACCTAACAGGTTCCAGTTTAACCCAAATACCTATGCTCAACAAGTTGGAACTGACTTTATCAGGAATCATAAAGTTCTTGGGGTTGATTTTGCTTCTGTTCACATCTATCCAGACTCTTGGTAAGTATTAATGATGGCTTTGAAAAATTCTCATACTCTTTAAGTTTATGTTTCGTATGCAGTAGTGAACCTATGTAATGAACAAGATTTTAGTTAATATTTTTCCCTAATATTATCCAGCCCATCTTACCAAGAATGTTGTAAGTCTTAAGTGAATACTAAAATTTTATAACTTTGTGTTTCAAATACGTCTTTCTTTTGAGTTCCCATGGGATTTTCTGAGTGGTATTTTTCACATCATATGAAGGATTTCGCAAACAATTTCGGATGTTCATATAGAATTCACCAAGTCGTGGATACAATCTCATATCGATGATGCTGAGAATTTCCTCGGAATGCCTGTTGTGTTTGGCGAGTTTGGTGTTTCTGCGAAAGATCCTGGCTATAATTCAACATACCGGGATACCCTCTTGAACAATGTGTACAAGATCCTTTTGGACTCGACTAGGAAAGGAGGCAGTGGAGGTGGTTGCCTTCTGTGGCAGTTGTTTCCTGAAGGGACAGATTACATGGATGATGGGTATGCAGTTATTCTCTCAAAGTCTCCTGCAACATCAGATATCATTTCTCTTCAATCAACTAGGTTAGCTACCTTCAATTCCTTGTGCTCTTGGAAATGCCACTGGGGTTGCAAGAAAAAGCATGCTTTGGAGACTTCCCTCTATCACGATGAGCTCTAAGTTTCTTTGCTTCTATCCTACTAAATGAAGAATCGATGTCATATGTTCCAGAATTTCTAGTACATTATCATGTATAGCTATGTCCAGAAGCACGGGTGTACACAGATTGTAACGGAAACGAAGCTGTTGAATGGGAAATATGATATTAATGCTTGCTCAATATCCAATTTGAAAGATTAGTGCTGTTTTAGGTTTTTCTTGTGCAATTTTTCTAAATTGAACTCCACAATGTTCTGTCAATTCACATATTCAGTTCCAGGTTGCAGTTCCAGTCATGAACACTTACCACTTCACCTTTATATACTTTTTAAATTAAAGTAATTAACAGGTTACAGTCATAGAATTTTTGGAAATACATCTAAAAACTTATCATGCTAGAAAATCACCCTTTTTTCAGAACATCAATATCCTCAAAATCATCTCACTTCCTATAAGGGTATATGACATGTTAAGATTATCCGAACTTAATCTTGTGACCACCCAATGGTAGATCGAGAAGACAAAAAATAAAGTAGATTGCTGATATACCAGTACGTAGAAGTACAATAATCACATAGTTGCCTATTCGAGTAGATTGGCGACTACTCATCTCATGATATTTAGCCTATGTTAGATGGGGATTAAAATTAAAATTTTAGTAAATTTTGATAAAAATTGATGAAATATGTATTGAAAAATTATTGATCTTATAAAATGTGTGACTAAAATAAGTTGTTGGATTTGACTTAAATTAAAATCTGAATTTTAATTTTTACCAAACATGGCTTAATGAATATGTGTTGGACAAGATGAGCTTCCAAACTTTTAAATTAATTGGTGCGGTTACATTCAAACAACGAAAGAACGAACATAAAGACATAGTTTCATAGTCTCCAAAACAAAAGACACAATAATCATAAAATGACAAAGAATATATCAACAAACTCACCTAGCTAGATTCTCTAATCCTAGTCAAGGCCATTACTGTAATTACAACTGCAAGTTTAGGATAAGCATTGCAAGGTATTGGCCGCCAATAACTTGTAATTTTATGAGATTTTAACTTGTTTATACGAGCTAAAAGAGTTTATAAAAAATTATGTTAAACTAAATAATTAATTTTATTACTACGCAATGAAATTCATAATTGTTATCAAATTTCGACTTTATATTTTATCAATTTTCATTGAAATTTACTAAAAATATGATTTTTAACAAAATATGGCCATTATGCTTTTATTTGGTTACTTTAAAATTTAATGAAAATTGAAATCAAAGTCAACAATTAATTTTAACCACTCATTTTTACTATATTTGTGCCCTATTTTGGATAAAAATGAATTTTGTAATAGTTATTTTTTAAGCAATCTTGCTAAATGTAAATCAAATTTGACACTGTTCTGAGGTGATAATTTTTTATACATTGATTTTAACAACACTTTAAATAACTAAGACTTAGATTTTGACACATAATTGAGTGTCAAGCTTGTTGCTTAATTCTTTTTTAAAAATGTGTGGTTAAAAAGAAAGGAAACTTTTAGGTTTACTTATAAATTATTTTATTGGAAAAATGTGTTGAATATTAGGAAAATGGGGTTCGGGCTTTCATTAGATTCGAAACTATTGTCAACTTTTTAAAAATATATTTTCATAAACTTTCGACAAAATTTATTTATATAAATTTTAATTACACAAAACATAGCTATATAAGTCCTTATTTGATCCCCATTATTTTTAAAATATATATTTTTTCTTTTTTTTTTAAATCACACATTTTTTAATAAAATAATATTATACGAAAATTCAAAATTTTTCTTTACTTTTTAACTACACATTCTCTATCAATCTACTAATTGTGTTTGAGCTACGTTATTTTTAAAGAATGTATTTTTGGAATAGTAGATTGATGGAGAATATGTGGTTGAAAAAGAAGGAAAAATTATTGATGTGATGAAAAATATTATTTTATTGAAAATATGTATTTGAAAATGATTAGAAGAATGAAAATGAAAATTTTAACGTGTCAGCTAAAAAATTCATTCTTGGCCGAATAATAAAGTTCAAACAGCCGCTTTAAAAAACAAAAAAAATTAAGAATTGAATGTTCCAACTGGCATATATCTTATGAGTGGTGCTATGTGTACACACAATTTTTTACACAATATTTTACACCCCTCTCACATGAACCCCTCCATGTGAGAGGGGTGTAAAATATTGTGTAAAAAATAGTGTACACATAGCTTTATTATATATCTTACGTATACTATGACGTTGTAGCAATACGTTATCATGAGTGCGCAATAATATTTAACGACGCGCTAATAAGGCGTGTTTTTAGTCTATCCGCACGTGGTTTGAAGTTCAACGGATGAATCATTAAACGACATTTAGGTAAATTTAGGCCATTCAACTTCTACTAAAATTTCAATTGAGTCATTCAACTTCAATATATTATAATCGAATCCCTAAAACTTCAATTTTATTGCACAACTCATACATAACTCCAATGTGTTTAACCTTGAACTCCTATATGACATTAAAAATAATGGACATTTTACATGTAATAAATTATAAGTGAATAGGTTTTGTAAGTAAAACTCCTGTTAAAATTACTTTAGGGTATGTTTGATAGGGAGTCAATTCCATGGAAAACGGAATTTGTTTTCCATTTTCCCACTCTTTCTTTGATTGATAGGTTTTTTTTTAGGCAAATGTTTTTCCCACTTTTTCTCACACACTCACATTTTCTTGCTTTTCCTTGAAATCATTTTCCCACCAAAGTGGTTTTCCAAGTTTTTTTTTTTTTTTTTTTGCAATTAGAAAAAGTTCTAGATACAATGGCAAAACAAATTATCAATTTTATTGACAATTTTCATACAAAACAAAGCTAAGCAAATGATATTCGGTGTAGTAAAAAAAATTGTAATTTTTTTAATTTTTTGGCAATTGGAACAAATTTAAACCCAATGGTTGAAAAAAGTATCATTTTAATGGGCAATTTTCATAAAAAATAAAGTCAAACAGATACCAAATTTTCAACATTTTTCATGTGAAAAATTATATCAATCAAACACAATTAATTACAATTCTCAGTAAAATAATTTCTAGCCAATTCAATTCTCTGAAATTCATTTTTTTTTTACCCATTTTCCAACTTTGCAATCAAACGGACCCTTAGTTTTAGCCCATGTTTCTTGTGACATAACATTTTGCTAAAAATTTAAGTGAAAACTAATATTTAATTTTAATCATATATTTTATGAGATCAATTACTTTTTTTTTATTTTATATTTCATCAACTTTCATCAAAATTTACTAAAATTTTGATTTCTAACTATACCAAACAGGGACTTAGCCCTTGTTTAATCCTTATTATTTTAAAAATACATGTTTCTCTATCTTATTTTCAATGATGCATTTTTCAATGAAATAATATTATATACAAACTTAAAAATTTTCCTTATTTTTTAACCACTTATTCTTTATCAATCTATTATTTCAAAATGTATTTTAACCAAAATTGGACTCCAATAGGCGCTTAGTGTTTAGATTTAATTAAGAGCTTATTCGACAACCATTAATTATTGTATGGTTTGATGTAGGATCATCTTCAATCACGCATTTATACAATAAAATATTTTATATGTATACCAAAAAAAATTTCATACTTTTCAATCACACATTCTCTTAAAAATTACTATTCAAAACTCTTTTTTCTACAATAATAATTGTCATGTAGGCTCTAAATTTGTGTTATTTAAAAGTGACCTATTGAAACATAATTTTAACGATGGACACTTTTTTTTCACTTTTGTCTTCATGGGATGTCAAAGGTTTATTGATTGTATGTTAGCAATTTGTTAAGCGTTTAGAGGAGATTTTTTAGAAATCGTTTTTAATCATATATTCACAATAATCGTAATATTTCCTTATTTTTAATCATAAATTCCAAAAAAAATCATTTTCACTGGAAAAAATCTTTCCCGAGCAAACCCTAAAATATTTCCTTAATGTATACGTAGAAATCCGGTGTCAATTTTTATAAACAGTATATGATTATTGGAATTAAAATTGAGTGACCTGATGCAAGAAACTAAACTCGAGTGGTCGAATCGAGCTTTGGGTAAAAGTTGATTGACTAAAAGTAAAACCCAAATTTTTTGGATAGAACTGCGCGTGGGATTGCAAATTCCAATCTGTATGAGCATTCGTAGAAATTTCTTTATTTATAATTTCTTGACCATTTATGGCTGATACATGTGCCACACATCCTCTATGCCGGAAAAGACAGACATGGAGTCCTCTTTACTCGCAAGTACAGCCACTGGCCGGAAAAGAGTGATCTCAGAGTTGAATCGTGGACGGAAATCTGCGCTGCAACTTCAAGTTTTGTTTCGTAAATCTCCGGAAACTGATGATATTCACGGAAGCGGAATGACGTCTGCTCATATTCTGGTGAACAAAATCTTGGATTCTTATAGTCTAATTCTTTCAAACATTAGCTCCGGTGAGTCTGATGAGGTTAGTGAAGTTCCGGCGGTTGATTCTCCTTGTTTGGATGGCCGCCGGAAGTCTGAAGACTCCGGCGAGAGTTGTAAGACTTCTGTACGAAAGGATCGGAGAGGATGCTACAAAAGAAGGTAATTAATATATTATTGTAATTATTCATAATTGCCTTATATTTGCTTAATAATTAATTAGTTTTGGATTCATAGCAGGAGAACTTCTGAGGCGTGCATCAGAGAGACCTCTACTTGGACTGATGATGGCCATGCATGGAGGAAGTATGGACAAAAATCCATACTCAATTCCCCACATCCAAGGTATTGTTTCAAAAATCGGAGCTTTATTTTTTAATTTTCTTTTTAAGAATTCACATATGATCGATACGCCATACGAGATGCTCAGATATAATTAGATCGTGATTACAAAATCCAAGGCCTTTCTCTTCGTCGACCGGCGCTGAGAAAACATCTATTTTTCTTAGATCCAGGCCAGACTTGAGCTCTAGGATTATCCTCGTAACCGAAATTTTGAAAGGCGGCACAAAATTCTTGCCTTACTATATTAATATTCTAATTTGTTTCTTTGGACAATTGAAATGCAGAAGCTACTTTAGGTGCACGCACAAGTTTGACCAGGGATGCCCAGCAACGAAACATGTCCAAAAGATTCAAGAAAATCCACCAAGATTTAGGACAACATACTATGATTATCACACTTGCAAAAATCCATACAAATCATCTCCAAGTATTATCATGGATCCCACCGCAGAGGATGCTTCTTCCAAGACCATCTGGGATTTTGAGTCCCAGATGGAACCAGATTATAAGCCTAATGATCCAGTAAAACAGGAGAACAAGGAACAAGTTCAAGATTTGCCCAACGTCATATCTGGATCGTCTGATTACTTCATCTCACCTTATCATCTCCCGACATTTGATCAAACTTCTTGTCCATTGACTGCATTTTCATCCGGATCTGATCATGGGGATGTGATTTCTTCTGACGTGTATTCCTGTACAGCTAGCACTTACAGTATGGATATGGATCATATGTTTGTAGGACCTGATGATCTTCTTGAATGTTGATGGACGGTCTAGTTTTCATCATTCCCTTGTGAAGTGTAGATGCTTTGTTAAGTAGTAGCATGTACCTGATATATCAAATCTAGTTTATCCATTTCACAAGATATTTCGAATCTAGTTTGTCTCAACATAATGTTAATTTATCAAAATATTTTATTGTTTTGTTTACTAAACTAAGAAATTACACTTTAATTTTGAATCCCATCTTAGTGGCGTAACACAAAAGAGTGTTTGCACAGTGACTAGTCGGACGTGAAGCCATCGTCGGTACGAAGATAATAAGGTTCAGCTTTCACTAATCAAGTTCGATCGGAAACAGTCCACGGACCACGGCTCAAGTTTGTCAACATGCTTATACAACGACTTAACGATGAATTAAAATTTTGTTTTTCATGNTTTTTTACAGTAAATTAATTCTCATTTTCAACCACACATTCTTCAATAAAATAATATTTTCCATCACATCAATAATTTTTTCTTCTTTTTCAACCACACATTTCCCATCATATCACTATTCAAAATCAATTTTTCCCCAAAAATTTCTCCCAAACAAGCTCTAAAAGATGTTACAATTAAGTTTATATTTTCCACCAAATCTTTATTAGATTCAGACTTTCAGCACATCATTGTGTGCTTTGCCCCGTTTCCCCCAAAATATTGCATTAACTTTCCCGCGATGGCCTTGGTTGTTTTGTTTTGAATAATAATGAAAACAGCAAAAATTGATGGATACTTCGTCGGTGTGAAAATGAGAAATGGGACCCAGAAACAGCTTGTCTTTCAAAAGATTAAACAATTTATACACGCAAAGTGTACATCTTGATTGTCACATCTCTTTGTGTAAAAATCGACGGTTAGTTGGAAAATATGTTGTCAATATCAATGAACCAAAACCCGTCATCTCATATGAGTGTAAAACAACTCGTCAACATTTATTTACATGATCCTCTTTCAAAATGGATGGCCTGGAAAAAGGATCGTGGGGGAAATGTGTGGTTCAGATCTGTACGTATAGACTACAGTCTGTGAAAATAAATTCTCTGGTTGCTTCTATCCTTTTAACAACTAAGCTTCCATTTATCTCTCATTCTTTCAATTTTTTTTATTTATATATGTTCATTTTTAACTATATATTATCACAATAAAATATTTCTACACGTAAATTCAAAAAAATTTACTATTTGTTAACCATATTTTCTTTAAAAATTCATTATTTAAAACAATATTTTTCCAATAGGGAAGATACTTCTTGTACATAACTATTTACATAATGTTTAACATAATAATAAGGTGTCAAATGTAAGTGGGGGAAGTTATTTGATTGGTGAGATTTTGATCCAATTAAATCTCGACACATCATTTGTTGATAAATCATTATGTAAATTTTTATGTGCAAGTAGAACAACCCAAAAATTAAATTTTTATTTGTTGGTTCGTTTCTTTTTAGAATCGAATCGGACCATGTTCGCCCCTAGTTGATTTGATGAATCATTATTTATTAAATAACTTATAGGAAAATTACACTTTTGGCCATTCAACTTCTACTAAAATTTCAATTGAGTCATTCAACTTCAATGTATTTTAATCGAATCCCTGAAACTTCAATTTTATTGCACAACTCATACTCCAGCGGTTTAACCTTGAACTACGACGTTAAATATAATGGATAATTTACATGTAACAAATTATAAGTGGATAGGTTGTGTGTAAGTAAAACTGGCCAAATTAAAGTTGCTTTAGTCACCTTTTTTTAGTTTTAGCCCCCGTTTGGTGTGGTTTAAAATTTTGCTAGTAAATTTTTTTAAATATTTAATTTTAACAATATATTTTATCAAATTCATAGCTTTTTTTACTATATATTTCATCAATTTTTATTAAAATCTACTAAAAATTTGATTTTTAATTACACGAAACATGGGCTTAATTTGTTTGGATTAATTAAATTTGTGATATTTAAAAGTTACTTATTGAAACATAATTTTAAGTAGGTTTATTTTATTTATTTTTGTCTACATGGGATGTCATAGATTTATTAATTGTATGTTAGCAATTTGTTGAACGTTTGGAGATTTTTTAAAAATAATTTTTAATCATATATTCACGATACCTTTAATTCTTTCTTACTTTTTTAACATACATTTTACAAAAAATCATTTTCACTTGAAAAAATCTCTCTCCAACAAACCCTAAACATTAATGTCTGCGTAGAATTCCGATGTCTATTTTTCTAAACAATATATGATTATCGGAATTAGAGTTGAGAGATCTAATGCAAGAAACCCAAAATTTTTGGATAGATCTGCGCGTGGGATTGCAAATGCCAATCTCGATGAGCTTTCGTAGAAATTTCTTTATTTTCTTTACATTAATTTATAATTTCTTGAGCATATAAGATTGGCCTTTGTTTGATACATGTGCCCTATATTCTTTAGGCCGGAAAAGACTGTACATGGAGTCCTCTTTACTTGCAAGTACAGCCACTGGCCGGAAAAGAGAGATCGCAGAGTTGATTCATGGCCGGAAATTTGCGCAGCAGCTTCAAGTTTTGTTGCACAAATCCCCGGAAACTGATGATATTGACAGCAGCGGAATGACGTCTGCTCAGATTCTGGTGAACAAAATCTTGGATTCGTATAATCAAAGTCTTTCAAACGTTAGCTCCGGCGAGTCTGATGAGGCTTGTGAAGTTCCGGCGGTTGATTCTCTTTGTTTGGATGGCCACCGGAAGTCTGAAGATCCTGGCGAGAGTTGTAAGACTTCTGTACAAAAAGGATCGGAGAGGATGCTACAAAAGAAGGTAATTAATATATTCTTGTAAGTATATTCGTTAATGCCTTATAAATGCTGAATAATTAGATTTGGATTCACTGTAGCAGAACTTCTGAGACGTGCACCAAAGAGACCTCTACTTGGATTGATGATGTCCATGCACGGAAGAAGTATGGACAAAAATCCATACTCAATTCCCCACATCCAAGGTATTCTTTTCAATTGGAGGCTTTTTCTTTTTAATTAAAGTTTGTTGCTCTATACAAGATCCAAGTCCCGTTCTCGTCATCGATCAGCACTGAAAAAACATCGCTCTTTTCTTAGATCCAGGCCAGACTTGAGCTCTAGGGTTATTGTCATTACCGGAATTTTGTAAAGCAGCACGAAATTCATCTCAACGTCGTGTTAATTTATCAAATACTGTTTTGTTTACTAGGCTAAGAAATTACACTTTATTTTTTTTATTCCCATATGAGTGGCGTAACATAAGAGCGTTCGCAAACCAACTAGTCAAACATCAAGACATACCGGTATGAAGATAATAAAGTTCAGCTTTCACTAATCAAGTTGGACCAAAAATAGTCCATGGCATAAGGTTGTCACACATATTTATACAACGACTTGACAATGTAGTGAAGACTAAACCGAAAAATATCTAACTCGCAGATGATGTACTGAACCATTATCTTAAGAGCCATGCTACAGGAACCGCGGGGATGACCGCGCCGATGACCGCACACACACACATGGGGGGTCGGGATTATTTTATTCGGGTGGGACCCTCGCCTCGGCTGTGAAGGCGCGGTCATCCATGCGGGTCGTCTAGAATAATTCTTATCTTAAAGAATCTTTTAACATGATTCCAAAACACTACGACGTCCCATATAATCACTTGCCAAAAAGTAAAAGTTATGAAGCACTTACTCTATGGACCCTACGTTGATAAGGCTTTGTTTGGAAACATGGAAAATTGGATTAGGAAACGTGGTTTAATTATAGCACATTTGACTATGCTTAAAAATATAACGGGGTAAGTTTTATCTTGAATCATGTTTAGATAACTTAAAAATTACATTTTTAAAGAAATTTTTACCTTAGCAAATGTTTGGCACAAAATTATAATCTGCTTATAATCAATCAAATCACTTTTTATCTAAACATTGCATGAGACTCACGAGTACTATTTAATTACTCTCAAAACAATTTTTTTAAAAATTATGTTTGCCACTTACTAGATTAACACTTTTTTAGTCGAAAGGCACTCGTTTCCTCTTTTAGGAGGCGGTGTATTAAGTAATTAGAAATGATTTTATACTTATGTTTATATTTTTCACCAAATCTTTATTAGATTCAATACATCATTGTGTGTTTAATACACAAGAAAAATAATATTAAACATTAATTCAAAATATTTTCTTATTTTTTAACCACGCATTCTCTATCAAAACACTATTTTAAAACATATTTTGAACCAAAAAAAAAAAAAGGCTCAAACATGCTCGTAATCTTCGAAAAGGCCGAAGGTAGCAAAAATTGGTGGAAACTCTGTCAGTATGAAAATGAGAAATGGGTCCTACAAATGACTGATCTTTCAAAATGGATGGCGTGGAAAACGGGGTAATAGGGAAACAATCATGTTTGGTATATAACGTTGGATGACAACTTTGTTAATACAATAATGTTATTCATCATTATGATGATGGAATATCGACAATGTGATAGTCTATGTGAAATAATGAAATTTAACAGTTCATTTTTTTATGAGAGAATGGTGGAAGAGAGAGAGAAAGAGAGAGAGAGAAATGTGATATATAATGAATTGTTATATTACCGATATTTCATCATTATGAAGATACATAACATTATTTTTGTTGATAACATGATGTGTCATTATGTCATGAGTAATGCTATTTATCATTACTGGGGTTGATCCTTAATTTATGTGGCAATTATATCGTACTAAATGATAGATTCATTTAAATACAAAGTCATTTGACTCATTTAATTAAGTCTATCATTTAATGTCTTGCAATTGCCACATAGACAGTGTGTGAATAAATTCTTTGGTTGCTTCTTTCCTTTTAACCAAATCATGTCATCGTGTGATTATTTCTAGTCTTCATATTCTCGAACTCAAAAGTAAACACATCATTGGCGTTTCGGGCCCACAAAAGTTTTGTCGACCACAGAAATTACTTCAAATATTAAATCAGACTCCGTATAGCTTGGCCTCCATTATTATAGTTTCCCCCCATTACTTCAAATTATACAATTTTTAAAATAATATTTTTTGAAGAATGTATAGTTGAAAAGGAAGAAAATTTTTTTTGTTTACGCGTAATATTATTTTACGGAAGATTGTGTGGTTGAAAATAAGAGAAAAAAATAAATTTTTGGAATAATGGGAACTATACGGGAGTTAAGATCTGATGTCTAACCAATTAATTATTAACATATCATCAATAATTAACACATCATCTCAAATTTATCCTTATTAACTTCACCACTAACACACTAAATTAATGACGTATTAATAATTAATTGATTGGACAGTAAAATCGGACGGCAGATCTCAACTCGCCAAACGGCGGCTTGGAGTTGAACTATTGAATTACTCTGAAAGTGATTTTTCTTTCAAAATATGCACGATAGTGTTGTGATCATTTTCACACTAGATTCATTACTTATTATTAGTATCATTACTTTCAAGAAAAAAATTAAGCAAGTTAATTTCCACGTTTCTATATGCAATTGACTTGAATTCATTCTTTATAATTTACATTAATAACTACTCGTGCATCAAGTTATTATTTTAACAAAATACAAATTATTATTATTATTATTACAATCTAATTCGAGTCTATGCTCATTACATTAATAATTTTTTTTCATAAACAATTGGATTTTCATAAAAAAAATCGAGTCTATTAAATTTTTTTTTATTATTGGACAATTGGGATTTTCTTTTAGCTTGTTCAATTATCTATAAAAAAAAAAATTGATATGTTAACCATAATTAATTAATCTAGTTCCTTTTATGTACTATGTTCATTAGTCATTAAGAAACAAACTGCTGCAAATCTGATGCACAAAAATAATTTGAAGTTGTTTGAATATTTTATACTATGTAGAATATGCTTTTATTTTGTAATTTTTAAATTTTTGAGATTGTAAATATAATTTTTCCTATTGTAATACAAAAGGACATTGTTATAATTAATGTCCATTTTAGTAAATATCGACATAACAATAAATCACTTTGTTTATCGAATGTTAAAAAATTGATTTGGAAAAATAAATTAGCCATTGGAGAAACTCGACTCAATTGATGCATAAGGACTAGTAAGGTCGAGTAGGTATCTACCAAGACAAAATTCCATCCTTAGTCGAAGTGGAGGTACTCAATGGAGATCGAACATGATTTGTTTTCAATTGAAAATATTCTGCAAACTGCAAGTTGGCAACTCGACCTACTATATCGTCAGTGCACCAACGGCGAGTTGTATAAAGTTTTACAAATACATCAGGAGGCATGTTTAGTATATATGCAGTTCTGAGATAAGATTGAACACTACAATAAACAATAGTCGTGTTTCATTTTCTTTCTTAATACTATTTGATTCATCTTTGCCAAATGAGCCAGGATTGTTCAGTACATGATTTAGTCGGTAAGACTTGAGATTTTTCCGACAAAATCAAGCGCATAGAGTCCCCAAACGAGTCCCACGGAGGACAAAGCCACGGACACGGGGCCAAACAACCACAACAGCAAGGGGATACTGATGCAAAGAGCCCTATTTCCCACCACAGCCAATATAAAACCTCTCTCCAATATAGTCTCTGTGTATCCTGGAGCAGGTGAGAATTCCCCTATTGTATTTATCAAGTAATTGGCATCTACCAAACAGCCTAGAGCAATAGAGCTACACAAGAAACTTGCCAACAGAAAGATTGAAGATGAGCCAAACTTTAGCACGAAAATCCTACCCGATTTAGACCCGAAAAAGTTACTGCTAAAGAGATTGTTAGCTTTCAACGCGTTGTTTGTGAAAGCTGCTAAGGAGATTGTGATGATAATTGTGATTGAAGCTGTAAGAATAGTGGCCATCAATGTGTTTCTCAAGCTTTGGACTGCTAACATGCCCTTTTTATCATCTCCCTGCCAAAAAAAAAGGAAAAAAAGGGGAACATATCCCTATTAAGAAAGAAAAAAGAAGAAGCTAAAATCTTTTCGGTACTGAAAGAATGATTGGCAAGGGAAAATACCCATCTAACTTACCTGATTTAGTTCTTTCAACCATGCCCTTCTTTTTAATGAGTTCATGCCAATGGATGTTAAGGCTGGTTTGTGCTTCAAGTTATGCCAAAGATATGCATGGTAGCCTATTGTAATGAAGAGACTCATAGGAACTAAAATGGTGTCTAGGTAAAGAATGGCATCCATTTTTCAGAGCTCTTTGCTGCCGTTTATCTGATCTCGACTTTCTTGATTCTGTAGCCTCCTAACAACAATAAAAAGCATTTATGAGAGAATTTCTTATTAATTTAGATTTTCACCAAAAGTTAAAAGCTTTTATAGTGGATTTTAGGTCATCAAACAAAGAAAAGGGAAGTCACTTCTCTTGTACAGCATTGGGTAGGGTTTCATTATGGACAAAATATAATGGACAATAGGAAGGGTTTTATATTCTAAAATTAACCAAATCAGCCAGCTTTTATTTCCACTAGCAAAAGGTAAAGGCTAAAAGCACCTCTCTCTACATTATCCAACACATACACAAGAATTAATGCTACAATGGATTAGTATTCATATTCCAACTAATAATCGATCCTATCCTGGTTTCATTAGTTGGGCACAAAAAGAAAAAATGAGAACCTGCCAAATGCATCACCAAAATTAGACGTACCAAATTGGTTGCCCACAAGGGGAATATTCACTATAGCTTGTGATTTTTTTCACTATATGAAAAGTTGCCAATTACGAACGATATAATTAAAACGTGTCGCTCATATTGATCTCGAGAATCAGGACTAATGTACTACATGAACAAGTCGAGTTATACAACTTAGTGAATGAAAAGGGGTCAATCAAATTTTGACATCACAACTTACCACTTGAAAGTTGCTAAGATCTTTTTACTAAACAATCTAATCCTAAACGATGTCCTTGGCATATCCACCTATTGTTGAGCTAGAGGTATCATCGTGTATCGGATATTTTACCAGTTTACCTGGTACCTAAAAATTATTCGGACCCTGCACAACTTGGGCCGAACTAGGCACACGGATTTTCACTGTCTTTCTAAAGTTTTTTTTTCTTTTTTGCGTTTTTGCCTAATTACAAGTCGTAAGTTGCTCAGCTTGGACCGAAAAGGATACGTTTAGGGTGGTCTAGCAGGTTCTAACACTTGTAGTTGAACTATAGTGCACAAGATTATATAATCATCATATCACTATATATGGACATATTTCATGGTCTGCAGTGTCATTTTCTGATAACTTGGCGAATTTGATTTTCTGTTTCAAAACACTTCATCAACAATTTGATGGATATTACAATTGGCCTAGTACATAGAGCCCGTTGTGAAATTCAATACCAATTTGTTGAAGAAAATAGGAGATAATAGCCATGATATGAAGTAAAAATCTCAAAGACAGGAAAAACAATGTAATTTGTAGAGTAAAGAAGATTTTATTATAATATAGAGAAAACATACAAAAATTTGTGTTTACAATATTTCTAATTTAATTTAAATCAAAATGAAGGGGACGTTCAAATCCTAATAGTAGAGTTGTGTTTGAAATAGAATGCAAAAAAATTCGTCAAAATGGGCATGGGCCGGAAACACTAGAACTCAAGCAGGCGTCTAGCGCCAAGCTAGCGACGCCTAGCGCTCGAGTGGTACGCTAGTGCTAGATGGGCGCCACCTTTTCTGCTTTTGGCTCTCGAGCACCCAGCTAGCCCCTGGGCTAGCGAAAATGCAACGAGAAAATCTTTTGTTCCATAATTTCAATATGTTTAAATTCAACACAAATTCAAACTCCCAATAGAGCTTCCAGATAGAATTTAAATAGAATTTCACAATAGCAATTCAAAATAGATTTTCTCTTAACATGCACTTTAATTAGAATCCCTAATTATTTTCAATAAAGAATTTAGATCACATCCAAATTCTTAGAGAAAAAAGTGGCATCCTAGCTCTTTAAAAATTGCTACAATATCTAATAGAACTAAAGCATTATATAATATTAGTTGTTATTTACTAGGCAAACATCAATTTCTTATTCATTTTAGTGCTTAATAACACAAAACGTCCTTACGTTTAACACTTCTTATGAAAAACGTCCTTACGTTTCATTTTTTCGTTTTTATTTCAACGTTTCATTGCGGAAAACATCATTTTCAAAACAAAACGTCCATATGATTGGCATTTCTTGTGGAAAACGTCCCTACATTTCATTTTTTTATATTTTCGTCCTTATTTCAACGTTTCATTGCGGAAAATATCTTTTCACCATTTTTAACGTAAAATAACCAATATACCCTTCTATTTAAATAAAACAAAAAATAAAGAAGAAAAATAAAAAACAAATTAAAATCTTACTCCTGAAAATTTTTAAAAAGTGCAAATGAGTCCAAATAAATATAATTTTGCTATCTAATTTTGGGACGATTTTTGCCCCTCTAGCCGTCGTTTATGGAGCCAAATTCTGGTAAGCTCTAGCCACCTAAACCACCAGAAAATGGTACCGGTGGAAAGCCTTTAACCTCATCTTCAATTCCATTCCAATATCTCCTTGTAACTCCAACTATTCCGGTCGGTACAAAGTTTCAAAGTTTGCTACCTGAAAATAGGGCTGTCCGTAGGTCGGTTCGGTTTTGAAGAGAATCGAACCGACCCAAAAATTTCAGGTATTTAATAAATGGAATCGTCGGGTCCAAATATAATTATGGAACCGTTCGGGTTCGATTCGGTTCGATTCCGTACCATAATTAAATTTTTTAATATTTACAGTAACACTACATAAAAACAATTAATGACATTTCATTCGTAACTTTTACAAATTAACGTAACCCAATTCAAAAACATATAAATAACTAGCCGTTCAATAAGATTAATTCAATGCATACAAATACGAAAAAGTAGATATTAATATTACAGCAACACT